TGGGGTATACAATTTTTGAGAGTAGTTTTTAAAGTTAAAAAGTTTGCTTCTGACCACTGTGTAGGATTAGAATTAAGGTCAGGGTTTTGAGCAATTCCCCATCTAATAACCTGATCCCAAATTTTTCCTTCATCCATATTTAAGTTGTCAAGCTTTAAAAGAGAAACCAAGGTGTTTTCTGAAAGATTCTCAAAATCTTTAGAATCAAAAATAATACTTGGATGTTTAGCAATTATATCATTACAGAACTTCTGTAAATCTTTAAAATCACTTTCCAAACTTATTTTATAAATTTTAACATAATTTCGACGTAACCACGATGCATGATTCTCAACTAATTGTATTTGTGCAGCATTTCCCAATTCTTCAAGTCCAAATTCATTAGCAACAATTAAAAGGTCAAAAATTGTAGTTGCATCGACTTTATTGAATAAAGTGATACCACCATAAATATATCTATTTGAGTTTTTTTTTAAAAAAAAAACAAATATTCGTATTTAAAAATTATAAATTTTATAACAAATATCGTTATATTGAAACATACTTAATAATAATATCGAAAATAGTAATAGAAATATTTGGAGCATTGATTTTTTTAACATTCTCTTCATTGTAAATCGTCTTAGACAGCTTTTCTCGAAGATAAGAACATCGAGAATTCAAAATTATTGAATGAGCCCTAAATATTTGATGGTTTGGCATTTGACCGACTTCAATTATTACGTCATAATCTTTGCCATTTACAAGAAGATTTGTTAAATCGCTGGAAAGTTTTTTAAAGAATTCTATAGCCATTTACGCAATTAGAGCAAAAGAATAATGAAAATACGGAAATTTTTAAAATGAACTTTATCATTATCTTACGCCAATCAGTTGAAAATAGCAACTGGTAATACTTTAATGGTTTACCAAAAAGATAGCGTGATCTGATTAATGCTAAACTGGCTTTATAAATTAAATACACACAAGGTTTAGATGACGTCCAATTGTTTTAGACTAATTAATCATCACGTTATTCTTTTTTATATGTACTTGCCCGTGAGCTTTTCCAATACTATATATTCTATATTAAATTATATATGAATGTTAATGTAAGTCACCTACCTAAGATAATTTTAACCAATCTCTTACAATAGCTATTTTTTAAAAAAAAGTTTAAGATTTCTTGGAATTTTAAGTAGTAATTAATTTTATTGAACAATTTTAAATAGCTTTAATTACCAGTAAAACATCTGAAATAATATTTTTTGCAAGATTAATTAAAGCACACAAAGGAATCAGATTAAGATTTTGTAAATAAACAAAATAATAAAATGGTAGCATATAAGTAACCCAGAAGACAACTAGACAAAACCTGTATATAGGGAGTGGAATGGTAGCCGAATTTTCTTCTAACTTACATGACTTCGAAAACTGATTTCTAGTCATCATGCTTAACAATAATATTCACTTTTGTTTCAAGAATAAATAAAGATCATATTTTTAAAGGCATAAACGACTTTAAAAGAATATATATACATATATATTAAATTTGAACCAAACATGACAATTAGTTATATCATTAAAGTGTATAATTGCTTAGTGTCTCATGTTTATTCGGTTTAATTTGGCTGATGAGTGTAAAGAACTAGCTTTAATAACATTTCTTATTTATTCGCAATAAATTATGAGTATACGTTCGTTCGTGTTAATTTAGCTGGTAAATAAGAAGGACATTATATCTGATATAGTGTTGTTATATAAATTTGTTCAACCGAACGATGTGTTATGTTGGTTACAATAAGGACATTTTCCTTATCTCTATATCTTTCGGAGTCAAATTTTCAAATACCAACATACATTCATTTGCGGTCGGTTTTTGAGTTAGTCCGTATATCTTATCACCTTTTAATTGAACGGAATTTTTAAATCCAATATGCAAGATATACAAAATGTAAATGTTTAAACTAGAATTATACACAATGTGTAAGGGAATTATTGAACCACGTGGCACAATGCACGTGTAGTACAATGAACGTGTCGGAGATTCATACAACGAACGTGAGCGTGATGCTAGAACCGCGTTAGCATTAGTCATTAGAAATCGTAATAACCATGCGTTCTATTGAAGTCATAATTATGTAATTGCCTGTAATATGCGATATAAATAATGTAAAGAAAAAGAAAGATTGTTAGGCTTTCGGTTGCACTCTGATCTAAAAAAAAGAGATAAAAAAAACCCCATTTTTACTTCGTTTAATAGAAAAATCGTCCCAAACCTATCTACCCTTAATAGATACGGTTAAATTTGGTAGCAGCGGAAATAAAGTTTTCATAAATAAAATAAAATAAAATTTTTGAAATAATCACTAACCTGGCTAAAGAAAGTAAAAACGAAGATACAATGGATACAACGAATCCAATAGATACCGATTTTATTACTATGTTTAAAAGATTCCTCCAAAATCAGAATCAATTCAACCAGTACCTTGCTGATATGACCCAACAGCAGCAAGCAACTAACGATCACTTACAAACATTAGTTACAGGAACCTCAAAATCCATAGAAACATCAGAAAGCATTTTTGATACAGACACAAGAGATCAAAGAAATGCAAGTTCCAAAGAATTAAACGTCCACTTTCCAGTGTTTAGCAGGAAAGATGGTGAAAATGTTCTTACCTGGCTTCTTCAAGTAGATCTTCTTTTTAAAGCCAAAAAAGTAGAAGATGAGGAACGGCTGCAGTATATAATAACTGGATTGAAAGATGTGGGATTACAATGGTATCTAAACTTAGTTCAAGCTGATGAAAGTAATCAACCATTTGCAGGTTGGAACTTATTCTCTACCAGTATTAAAGCTGCATTCCAACTGCCCCATCACCAACAACTTTTAAGGTGTCAATTAAGAGAATTAAAACAAACATCATGGTCCAAGAGTATGCAGGAAAATTTAGAAATTTGTTAGGACAAATAGAAGAAATCATGGAACCAGATAAAGTAATGTATTTTACTAAAGGACTGAAAGGAGCCACAAAGGCTGAAATCAACTATCTGGCCCTGGAAACCTTGGACAAAGCAGTAAAACTCGCCACAAGTTATGATTCAGCAATGTACGGAACAAAGAACAACTATAATTATTCTTCAAAATGAAATACAAGATCAAGGGAAGAGAGCTGGAGATACAAAAACACTCCAAGTTATGTACCACAAAGCTGAGACAAAAGCTCTATACCGATGGAATTAGACAGAATGAAAAAAAGGCATTCTAAGAATACAAAACCTATAAATGAAAAAAAAAGAAGAGTAATGTTAACCAAGAAGCAAAAAGAAGAGTATAAAAGAAAAAGGTTATGCTTTGCCTGTGGAAAAAAAGGACACATGGCAAAAGACTGCTGAAGCAAAAATAAAACAAGTAATGAAATTAATCAAGTGGAAAAGGTAGATTCAAGAAAAAGTAATAGAAGCAACGAAGAAAAAGATAAAAGCCTACTGAAAACAGAAGAAAAGAATAATGAAAATCATGAAAACCTCCTAAGAATTAAAGGAAAAGTGCAAGGTCGAAACGCGCTAATCTTGATAGATTCCGGAGCATCTAAAGATTTTATAGACAAAAAGTTTAGTAAGAAAATACAATTAAAAATGAAAGACAGAAGTACACCTACCGCAATTGAATTGGCAGACGGGTCCCAATATGAATCTAAAGGAAGTGTACCAAAGATTACAATTACAATACAAAATTATAAAGATACAAGAAAAGATGTAGAAGTATTACCTCTGCAAAAATATAACCTTATTTTGGGAAAACCATGGCTTTACGACCTAAACTCATGAATTAACTAGAAAAATAATCAAATCTCAATTAAAAAAGACAATTGTATTTATAATATTAGGACAGAAGTAAAAGAAAATACAAAAGAATGTCAAACAAGTCTTGTGTTCAGACAACAATTTAACCAAGAAGTGAAAAAAACTGCGGAACTATACATTGTACTCACCATAGAAGATCCTGAAAAGGAAACTAAAATAGAAAGGGTATCAGAGTTTCTAAAAGATTTGGTAGATCAATATCAGAATGTATTTCCTGATGAACTGCCTAAGAAACTACCACCAGAAAGAAATATAGATCATGAAACACCGTTATAAAAAGGGATATTTCTACAATATGGATCTATATATAAAATGTTAGTGCTAGAAATAAAAGAGTTAAAGAAACAGATTGAAGACTATATGGGTAAAGGAGTAATCAAACCAAGCACTTCACTATATGGTGCTCCTGTGTTGTTCATAGCTAAAAAAGAAGGAACACTAAGAATATGCGTTGATTATCATATACTGAACAAGATAACAATTAAAAATCGATACCTCTTACCATGTATCAATGAATTATTAGATCAAGTATTAGGTGCAAAATATTTTAGTAAGATAGATTTTTACTCAAGATACCACCAAATATGGGTAAAAGAGAAAGACATACCCAAGACAGTGTTTAAAACAAGATATGGGTATTACGAATTCTTAGTTATGCCATTTGGCTTGACTAATGCTCCCACCTTATTTATGAGGCTAATGAATAACATCTTCCGTAAACAGCTAGATAAAAGTGTTATCGTATATCTAGACGATATACTAATATATAGCAAATCAAAAGAACACTAAAACACGTAAAGGAAGTATTTAAAATTTTAAGACAACATAAACTATATGGGAAGATGAAAAAATGCGAATTAGGGAAGGAAGAAGTAGAGTTTTTAGACCACATAATTTCACAAGAAGGAGTAAAAGTAGAACTCAAGAAAATTAAAACCATTCAAGATTGGCTCGCACTTACTAGTATCCATGACCTTTGATCCTTTTTAGGCCTCGCGTGTTATTACTAAAAATTCTAAAAAATTTTGTGAACACCGCAGCCCCATTAACAAAGCTAATAAAGAAAAATGAAAATTTCGAGTGGAAGAAAACACAAGAGACAGCTTTTAAAAAACTTAAAGAAACATTAACATCTGCCCCAGTATTGTTAATTCCAGATCACAGCAAACTATTTATTCTCACAACTGACGCTTCAGATGTAGCAATAGGTGCAGTATTATCTCAAGACCAAGGCTTAAGAGAACAACTGATAGCCTACAAATTAAGAAAACTAACCTCCGCAGAACTGAATTATCCAATTCACGAAAAAGAACTCTTAGCAATCATCCACGTATTAAAGATCTGGCCCGTATACCTAGAAGAAAATACCTTTCAAATTATAACTGACCATGAATCATTAAAATACTTACAATTACAAGCAAAGTTGTTGGTAATAGGGCGGTTGGAATGCAGCTTTAATACTGGTAGAGAATAAGTTCAAACTTGCAAATAGTTGGTTACTTTCATTAGCTTGAACTAAGTTTAGATACCATTGTAATGCGGTATCTTTCAATCCAGTTATTATATATTGCAGCCATTCCTTATCTTCTACTTTTTTGGCTTTAAAAAGAAGATCTACTTGAAGAAGCCAAGTAAGAACATTTTTACCATTTTTCCTGCTAAACACTGATAAGTGGACGTTTAATCCTTTGGATCTGGCATTTCTTTGATCTCTTGTGTCTGTATCAAAAATACTTTTTGATGTTTCTATGGGTTTTGAGGTTCCTGTAACTAAAGTTTGTAAGTGATTATTAGTTGCTTGCTGCTGTTGGGTCATATTAGCAAGGTACTAGTTGAATTGATTCTGATTTTGGAGAAATCTTTTAAACATAGTAATAAAATCAGTATCTATTGGATCCATTGTATTTATCGTATCTTCATTTTTACTTTCTTTAGCCAGGTCAGTGATTATTTCAAAAATTTTATTTTATTTTATTTATGAAAACTTTATTTCTACTGCTACCAAATGTAACCATATCTATTAAGAGTAGATAGGTTTGGGATAATTTTTTTATTAAACGAAGCAAAAATAGAGTTTTTTTATATCTTTTTTTTAGATCAGAATGCAACTGAAAGCCTAACTATCTTTCTTTTTCTTTATATTATTTATATTGCATATTACAGACAATTACATAATTATGACTTCAATAGAACGCATGGTTATTATAATTTCTAATGACTAATACTAACGCGGTTCTAGCATCATGCTCACGTTTGTTGTATGAATCTCTGACACGTTCATTGTACTACACATGCATTGTGCCACGTGGTTCAATAATTCCCTTATATGTGATTCCTAATAGTACTTAAAATCCTTAAGAAGAATTTTATAGTATAACTTGCTATAAAAACCACCAACATCATGAGATGAGAAATATTTCTAAATCGTGATAGAATTACCTCTATTCTTTACTATAGGCTTAATATGCAAGTTGATTAAAGGTTTACTAGAACACTTTCAATAATATTGCTTACTATCTGACCCAAAAATCTTGAACTTCAATTTGTCAAATCAAATTACCTTGGCATAATCTTCATAGGTCCAATTTTTATATTTTTCTGTAAATTCTAACTGATATTTTTTATGAATTTTGCTTAGGTAGAACTTTTTTCTTTTAATTTCTAATATCAAACCATGAGCTTTAAATATACAATGAATAGTGAACATAAAAATATCAATGTTTTTTTGTTCTTTAAGCTAGAAAGAAACTTCAATAGCACTTGAACAAAGATGAGAGATAATTAGATTTATGATTCTTCTTTGAGTTGGTTTATACAGAGCAATTAGGTAACTAACCCTTTTCAAGTTTTTAAACACACAGTGCTTTTTTTATTTATTTTTGATATAAGATATAATGGAGAAACTGATATTATAGACAATATCTACTGCTTTTGTAGAGTATTTTTTTGTAGTAAAAGTAAAATATTAGCTCTTTTGGCTAGGGTTATTTATTCTTTTTTTTTGAAATTTAATTATTAATTAGATTCAATATTATACAATAATACAAAAACAACAATATATTTTACTTTTGTATTGTTGTTTATATTGTATAATACCTTATCTGATCTTAATTAGAAATAATTAAAAGCAATGTATAACATGTTTTGTATTATATATATAATTATTTTTGAATTGGCAACTAGAATATTTAATATTAAAAAAATAACTATTCATGAATAAATTAAAAAAAATAAAACAATATGTCCAGAATTGCTTAAAATAATATAATTTAAGTAAATTTTTTTTGCTCTATTATTTATGATTATTATTGCAATAAATACAAAACTACTATATATTATCTTTAATAAATATTCTAGCATTGTTCTAATAAATTCTTATTTAATTTATATAATTTAAAATTCCTAGATTTAGTTTAGTTCAGGTTCAGATTCAATAAACCTAAACCTAAATCTGAATATGAACTATAAATTTTACAAATTATTAAACCTGAATCTGAACTAAACATTGAATTTATAAACCTAAACTAAACCTGAACTTAAAGTTTTGGTTTAGTTTAGATTTAGTTTAAAGTTTATAAACATGTTTAGATTCAGTAGTGGCTCAGTAATAAAATATAGTAAAATTTTTTTTATTGTTTTTAGAATTTTTAAATTTAAAATTTTTTAAAGAAATCTTTTTTTTTTACTAAGTAAACCTATTTTCAACTTTTAAAAAAGTTGTAAAGGTGTGTTTTGTAATCAGAATGATAGTTAAAATATTAAAATTGGCCTAGTAAATCTTGAAATATAAGTATTTTAGTTCTTGTGACTATATATTTTCTTTTTTATATAAATAAAGAAGAAATAAATAAATATCAAGACAAAAATACTTAACCGTACTAATCGAGTTATTACTAACCTTGGTCTTACCAATTTCTATTCAATTAAAAATGGTATTGACCAAGGTGAAACTATTACTCCTCTCTTTTGGAGAATCTATTATGATCCTCTTATTACTTTT